AATAATATTATAAATTTAGGTATACATTATATGAAGCGGCGGCGACGACAACGACGACAGACCGTAAATGAACTAAGAATGTGCCTTTATTATTAAAGTTTTAAACGATATTTGCTTAGTCGAGTTGAACTTTGCAGATAATGCCATCAGTGTAAGTATAAAATATATCCCTAACCCAACCTGGCCAATTTATATTATAATTATTATTAAATTATATTCGACCGTTTGTACCGTCGTCGACTGACATTTATTAAATATATAGGTAGGTATAGGTACGTACCTATATATATATATATAAATCGCATGCGCAAACGGAATTGAAATGATGTAGTGGTATATTATAATATTATTATTATTATTATACATATATAGCTGTTGTTGCATCCAYCGGAGGCCGGCGGATATCCGTTATTAATTACAGCTGCAGCGTGGAAATATACGAAGCGGACGTGCGGTTTTCGAGTTTGCCCGGAACCCGGAATACGTGCAACCCGAGTCCCGGACCGAGAACCCGGTATTAGGTCTCGACCTAGGCGTTACTCTAAATGAGCTAAATAAATTTAAGCGATCCCTTTCAATGGCCAGTTATAGTAATTCGTATCATGTACAAAAAATAAATAAAATAATGATGATAAAATCGGATATAGGATTTGGATGGGTCACAGGGGCGAGTGTGTATTGAGTTTAAAAACAACGATTAATCAATGAACAAAGGCAACTGAGTCAGTATAACTCAAAGTTGGTAGAAAGTTTGATTTAAAAAAAAAAATAATAATAATAATAATAACCGTTAGGTAGGTCAGGAAAAATTTATAAAATCGAATTCTATAACACCTATACAGACCTACCACATCGACTGTTCCAATCTATGAGTGTATATTTTTTTCACTATGGAAATATAACTTATATGTAACTTTTTTCAATAATTGATCAATCCTGCTCGACTGAGATTATTAAAAACACACACACACACTTCATTGTTTGATGATTATCAAAAGACAATAATACAATATTATTGTAATGTATCGCGGAGCAATGATTTA